TGTGATGTCTACCACTTATCCTTTGGAATCATGACTTACGACGTAGAGAATGTTCTCGTTGCCAGCGGCGCGGACGAGGTTCAGCTCGGCAGCCTCATCTCCGTAGGCAGCGCGCGCAGCAGGCGCGATGAAGATGGGGGCGCTGAAGTTGTAGCCCAGGATGGTGACGCTGTTGGGACGTGTTAGTCAAAAGGATGCTTGTCCTGTGTACTTGTTGGCGTAACATACGGAAGGGTCTCGTTGAGCTTGGTGACATCGCTCAAGTGCTTAGAGCGAAGCTGGACCTTCTGCCAGACGTCGAGGTTGTGGCGGTAGCTGAACTCGCCAGCAGTACCGGTGCGGTAGAAGGAGTACTTCTGGTTGTCGAGCTTCTGGCGGGCGGCCCAGTCGAAGTCGGGGATGGCGCGGATGTCCTTGAGAAGGGGCAGGCTGCCCTTGGTGTAGTTGGTGCTATCGAGGTACGTAACAAAGCCGGTGTCGACCTCGTTCTCCCAAGGCTCGGCCGCGAAAGCGGCAGCGACGAACTGCGCGGCAATGAAGAGAGAAGAACGCATCGTGAACTATGTTGTAAAGACCGTTGAAAGGAGTGAAATGGGTAAGACTGAGTGTAGATCTTTGCCAAGCACTGCTGGTGACGCCTTCCTTCATAAGTAGCTACAGCGACTCATGCCAGACTTATATGCTCCTCTTCGAACGAGCTAGACCCCTTACAACCCACGATGATCTCCATCGAGAGCATCCACTACCATGTCGGTGCATTTTACCCCCGGCGGCCTCAGGGTTAGGCCGCATGTTCTTCACGTCGAGCAGGTATTGGTTCATCTCAAGTCCTCCCCAAAGAGCAAACATCAGGCCTTGGCCGAGTCACTTGCCAAGTTGGGAGCTGGGACGCCCCCTGCCGCGCGAGTCGAAAGGAGGCGAAGAGAACCCGCCGACTGGCCAGTCACGATCTAATCTAATCAATCCGAGATACCCGAATGCCTGGATTCCTTGGCTGAAGCAGTCAGGCCTCCGTGGGGGGTGTCTGTTCAGTCATCCTTAGTAATGGCGCGGAGAGTCCACTCGTTTCTTTTGGAAGTTGTTTTTGAAGGCATCGACTTGCCTAAACCGGAGAACTTTGGGACTTCACATGTGGCTAAGGCAAGGGTATCCTGTCACCGTGGTCGGATCTTCAGGGCATTGGGTAGTTTATTAAAGAGAAGAAAACCCACAATGAGGTAAACCCTGCCCGAGATTTGGTAACGACCGTCCAAGTACGGAGAAGCAGCCGAGTCGTTACCAGCTTGTTGGCCAGAACGGAAAATGAGAATTCCTCAATGATAACCAAGATTGCGAAAGTGCCCAGACCTGCCAGAGACAGCAGGTTGGGATTCCTGACTTCCTGAAGCAGGAGGCTTGGCTCCGGCCCAAGACTGCGGTAACAGGATGTCGCTTGTCGGCAGTGTTGCTGCTTTGGCACTGGCTCTGTTTATGCGCGCTTTCTCGTCATTCAAGATGCAACGTCAACTCCGCTTGTGGAGAGACTTGGGAATGACTTTGGACGAACGAGAGCCGCGGGACGAGATGAAATTAAGTTCTCGTTTCTAGGAGGGAGTGGAGTCGTCAACAAGAATCAAAGCGATGGATCTGCTGTCTACAGAGAGCTTGGCGCGGATGTAAAATGCTTCCCTGTCGATGGATGTCTTCACTCTCAGTCAGCCGTACGTGCGGTCCCCGTTGCAAGGTCGGTCTGTCTTTAACGGGTTGAGTTATAATTCTCCATGGGGTCCGCCCACACTCGTGTGTGCGGACTCTGCGGAGAGCTCGCAGTTAAACTCATCTTACGGTTGGGGCTCCAGGCTTTCTTTAACGGAGCTTGCCCGGGGACCTGTGGACTCCTCCGGTTCTCCGATAGCCCGAGATGGGTCTTCGCGCGCGGTTGTCCTTGAGAAGGGAAAAAAAAACCTAACCGACATCACTGACCCTCCCTAGCAAAGACTTTTTATTTTCTTTGGAATCAATGGCCCACGCACACGGGTTGGCGAGGGTGATTGGCAGCAGCATTGCCATTATTCACGGGGCTTGATTCGGACGACAATTCCGAGAACGGGAGCTGCCAAGAGATAGCGAGGAATTCTCAAGGGATATTGTCACGCAATACGGAGGACTTTTGGCGCAGGTTAGACTGTTAGCGGTGATTTTCAACAAATCCTTATTCCCGTAAAGAATCCAGGGAGTAAAATGCAACACAATTACCAACTACCCAACCAACATGGCTGACTGGTCTTATGTGATCTTTTCCATGTTGCTTTTCCTGCGGCCGCCGCGGCTTAAAACTTCATCAATAACACGCTTAGCAGCCCTTGTTACACCCTCCTCATAGGCTGGTAATCAAGGTGAGGCTCCCTCGATGGCCCTCGATTTAAATGGTACAGTTGCATTGTAACGGAGCCAAATTCACCAATGGTGTTGCGAGCCGATATGAGTGTTGCACCTCCTCGATTAAGACAGACCCCCACGCTCCGATCGCCAAAGTCCGTGGTCGCACAGCCAGCTTTTCGGGCCCTACAAGGCGGGTGTTCAACACATTTGGAAGTCATCATCTCGGCTGCAGTTTCTGATTTTTTTTTGCGGCTCTCAGGCACGGACTGGACGTGGGCAGTAGGAACGATGTTAATTCTCATGCTGCGCGGGCGGCGCGGGCCCCGTTGGTTTTGGTTGTCAAGACTCTTACTCTCGCTCACAGAGACACCCTCTCTCCGTCAGTCTTATTTCTGCTCAGATCCTTGTTTCTTTTTCGTCTTTTATGCTCGGCTCCGATAACAAGGTGACTTTCACAAGTAGTGGGTTCGGTGCTCGGCGCAACAACACAGCGTGCAGCGCCTGCGAGCCAGGGGGAGGCACAGCCAAAACCCGCAGTCCCTGACTCGAATCAACGCTGGACGACCAAATTCACACAACACCATGATTCAAGACAGAGGCAGGATCGTCGAGAATCTTTTGATTTGATATCCACCGCAACTTGCGGCATCACACCGCTTGAAAAACCGACACCATCCAGGTGGTTTCTATTTGTTCTCCGCCGTTGGTGAACTATGTAACCCATTTTGAGTCTATTTCTACTAAAAAGACATCGCTTTGCTTAATTTTTGTCAAGTTTTTCCTCATCGGCCCCATTCAGCAGACTGAAAAGAACTCGTTAGACAACATTCAATCATCATCGTACAAAGGAATCGACTTACTTCCAATAACGCCGTTGACGGGAATGTCTATCGACGTGGTGTAGCTCGCGGCGTCGCTCAGTAGGTAGACGTACGCGCCTCCAAGCTCCTGGACCTCCGCCAGCCTCGGGATGCCTCCGTAGTACTTCAGCTGCTGCTCCCAGTCCGGCTGCTGCGGGACCCAGTAGGTCATCGCGGTGCGGACAAGACCGGGGGACACGCTGTTGACGCGGATGCCGTACTTTGCCCACTCCATCGCCAGCGTGTGGGCCATGTTGCGGATGCCGGCCTTGGAGGCGCCGTAAGGTGCCGAGGGCACGCGCTGGAACAATGTCAGTTGTGCTCTATGCGACGAGTCGAAATTGAGAGGACAAACCTTGTTGGGGCGGTAAGATGCCATAGATGCCGTGAATACCACAGATCCCTTGATGCCAAGCTTGATAAACGCCCTCGCCGCAGCTCTGGCTGTGTAAAAGGCCCCGAACAACTACGCATCATCAGCAATGGCTCCTGCATCCTACCATGCATCAAACTCACGTTAACACCAAATAGCGTCTCAATCTCTTCCTTGGTAAAGTCCAGCGCCGCCTTGTGGTTCGTGCGGCCGGCGTTAGCGACGACGCCGTGGATGGCGCCGGCCTCCTCGACAATCTTGTCGATGGCGGCGGTGATGCTCTCCTCCTCGGTCACGTTTGCTTGCACGTTGAACAGGCGGCCGGGGAACTGCTTGGAGGCCGCCGCGAACTCTTCGCCGGGCTGCGCGAGGTCGATCGAGTAGACCTTGTCGGCGCCGTTGAGGAGACAGCACTCTGCGACGCCGAGACCGATGCCGCGGTTACCACCGGTGACTTTGTGTTCGTCGTGTTAGTGGAGGGGGCTGTGTACCTCGCTCGATGGTGTTTTGTGACATACCCGCGATGACCTTTCCCTTTAGTGTGAGAATTGGCTGGACGTCGACGGCTGTCGTCGCCGCTGGCATTCCGGTTGATGAAGACATGTTGTCTGATGTGTGTGATCTGAGATACCTCGGAACAGGGAGGCTTCTGTGTGAGTGTGAAGGGGCTTAAATCGGTGGTAATTGAACTCTGCCGATAGTTTGGGGACAGAGACTATAAAGCCATGGCATCGTCACGTTATAAGTATCTTCAATTCCCAAACCTGAAGCGCAACCCTGATCCACAGCTTCGTAACAAACCGGATCATCTCGAGCTTCAAACGCATCATCACACATTCCCTCGAGACGAGCAGAGCTTTGAGTTGGGCGCAGGCCAGTCAGCGCTGGCGGACGCGTGCTCCACAATCGCGGGGTGAACGCGGGGTTCACAGCACAGCATGAAAAGATTCCCTCGAGACGACGCTGCGGGGTGATCTCCACCAACACAACCACACGACAGCAGTGCCTCTCAATGCGGTCCGGCGGGCATCGGGCTGTAACAGTTGGTGGTGTTTGGCTGCAGCGCGAGATATCCGGCTGAAACATCATTGGCGAAGTTGGAGAGGTGAGCCGTAGGTTTGGCGCAACATGGATGTCGCACCGCGTCTGTTCATCCGGAGAGACCTGCTGATCATCTTGAGGTTCTGCGTAGGTGAGATTTGGGGTAGCAGATGGAGGTTCCTGGACCAGAAGCCGGTGGGAGGAAGGGTCTTGCTGTCTTCACGCAATGTAGCACTTTCTTGTGAATGAGAAATACGATATAAAGCCAGCGTCTGACACGATTATTGTATTCTTCCTCTCTCGTACCAGAGTTGCTAGATTGGACCATATAATACCCGCCATTCCCCTCAAAACTCACCATAAGGATGAGTTTCTTCAGATCCGGTTCGGCTCAAGTCCTGAGGCGGCGCAGCCTGGCCCCAAGGCAGCAACTGAGAAGTCTCACCACTCACACGCTCAACACCGGCGCAAAGATACCCGCCATCGGCTTCGGGACCTTCCAAGATGCAGACGCCCAGGAGGGCGCCGTAAAGACGGCGTTGCAGTGTAGCTATCGCCATATCGATACCGCCAGAGTGTAAGGCAATCTCCAGCATCAACCGGCCTACCTGCTGTCGACGCACCAAACTGACGTGAGCCAGGTACGACACGGAGGTGCAGGTAGGAAAGGGCATCAAGGCCAGCGGCGTTCCCCGCAAAGACGTCTTCCTTACTACCAAGCTGTGGTGCAACTCGTACCACCCGGACGACGTGGAGCCCGCGCTCGATGCCTCCCTCAAGGACCTCGACACGCCGTACGTGGACCTGTTTCTGATGCACTACCCCTGCACATTTGCGCGCGGGGAGGACCGCTTCCCGAAGGACGCGTCAGGCAAGATGATAATGGGCAAGACGACGTTTCTCGATACCTGGAAGGCGATGGAGGCGCTGCTGAAGACGGGCAAGACCAGGGCGATCGGGGTGTCCAACTTTAGCAAGGACGAGGTGCAGACGCTCCTTGACAAGGGGTCTGTGGTAAGTCTCTCGATGACCGACGGATGAGAAGTTGATGGAGGCTGGAGCTGACACACTGTTCTCGTCAAAATAGGCGCCCGCGGTTCATCAGATGGAACTCCATCCCTACCTCCAGCAACGCGAGTTCGTAGACTGGCAGCGTGCGAACGGCATCCACATGATCCATTTCAGCCCGCTGGGAAATGAGAACTCGTTCTACCGGGAGGTGTCGTGGAGCAAGAAGGAATCGCACATGCATCGCCTCATCGAACATCCCGTCCTCGCGGAGGTGGCGAAGAAGCACGGCAAGACGCCGGTGCAGGTGGCTCTCGCGTGGGGCGTCAACAGCGGCAGGTCCGTCATTCCCAAGAGCGTGATTGAGTGGCAGATCAAGGAGAACCTCAAGTCGGACTTTGCGCTCGACGCCGAGGACATGGATAAGATTGCGACGATGGACTTGAAGGCTAGGTTTAACGTTCCCTCTGAAGAGTATCGCTGGCCGTTGTACAAGGGACTAGATGGGGTGTAAGAAAACAGTTGAGCATAGATCTGGGTTCCTGAACTCGATTTGACTAATCGTATTGCCGCCTCATTTCCTCCGTATAGTGATGATGTAGTAAGCAAACGTACCGAGTGGTGGCCATCTGGAAGCGCTTGGCTCTTTCCGTAGTCTCTTAAAGTTCGCATTGAAATATACCATATAACACGAAGGTCATGATAGGATGGGTCTTGAGGCATGGGACGAGATGAGGCTGCGCCCGAGTGGTGTAATTCTTGAGTCTAACGTGCAGAAGATGGTATTTTAATGTCAAAATCGTCGTCGATATCATGCTTTTTCTGTCGCCCGCAACAAACTTTTCAGCACCCCTTGAACAACACCCATGACACACTGTGGCCGCTTCCACCACAGGTATACAGCTCCCACTACGAAGGGGCTGCAGACAAGAGCCTCAAACGACTTCATCAAGACGTGTCCCTGATGGTCGCTCTTCGCCACAACCTCGGAGTACCGTTCGTTTCCGAAGCTGACGCGGGAGTATTTGGTCTGCCACCCAAGGCCTGGCAGGTACACAGACATGGTTTCTTCCAACCACTTGCGGAGGCGGTAGCGAGGAGACAGAACCGAGGCCCGCATCTCGACGTAGTTCTGCAGAGCGAGATCGTTGATAGAGTGGGCGTCCGGGACTCGGTTGGCCGTGTACTCAGCAAAAGCCACCGTTGTGTGGTACGCTGCAGTTGAAGCGTCGCTTCCTTCTCCCGACGGGTTGTTGTTCTCATCCAGAACCCTGTGCTTGTCGAGGATAGAGAAGATAACGCGGACATCTTCGAGGCCTGCGTTCATGCCTTGGCCGTAGAAGGGAACCATAGCGTGAGCGGCATCGCCGACCAGGACAGCCGATGATTGGAAGTGGTGGGGGCTGCACTTGATGCTGATCAGAGGCAGATGGGGATTCCTCTTGAATGAGTCGATCAAATCGTCGGCGGGGATCAGGTTTGTGACGCCGGGGAAGTGCTTGTCAAAGAAGGCTGGCAGGCTGTCGGGGTTGCTTTCCAGAGCTGCGGTCTGCTCGTTTGGTAGGAATAGCGTGCAGGTGAAGGATCCATCCTATAATTGTCAGTCAGTGTGAGCTGGCGATTTGTCCAGCTTCAGCAACTTACATCGCTAGGAATGGCGATAAACATGAAGTCCTTGCCGGGCCAGATGTGCAGATGGTTGGGCGAGATTCTGAAATGAGGGCCGACACTGTCCTTGGACGGAGGCTCCGCCGGCTTGATCTGGAACTCGCACCAGAGGGTGTCGATGTACTCTTGCTTATAGTCCATGTGAGCAAACTTCATCATGTGGTATCTGACGGCGGAGTGAGCTCCGTCGGCGCCAATCATGAAATCGAAGTCAATCTCAATCTCCCGCGCGCGACCAGTGGCCGACTCGGAGGTCATAACTTCGAACCAGGCCTTGCACTTCTTGAAGTCGGCGCCAGTAAGCTTGTGACTGAAAAAGAACTTGACGTTGGGCATCTCCTCGAGAATGTCGAGCATGCGCTTGTTCAAGCCGGCGCGATCCACGGCGTAGATTGCCTAAGCAGTCAGCATCTGGATCGAGGACTCTAGAAACCAAATGACTTACCCTTCCGTGAACATCGTAGTCCTGAGAGGCCTCGTACAGTTCACCTTTCGGGGTTCTGCCATGAATCATGCGACCGCGCATGGGAATGGTGGCGCCAAAGACATGTTCCAGTAACTTTGGCTGGCCAGCATTGCGCATGGCGTTGATGCCGCGCTCCGAAAGTGCCAAATTGATGGAGCGGGTGAAGTTCAACAACGTGGTTGTGGGATCTCGCAGGTCTACATTACGAACGTCAGTGGCACTCAATTGAATTTACGAGTGACCAGGCTTATCGTCAATGGATCGATGCGGCCCCATTTCAGAGATATGCAAAGTCCAAAAGCAAGCAATCTTATCAATCTCATCCACATCACCGTCTCGGCGCAGATGGTGGGGCTTGGAGGATCCCCCGCGACTCTGCAACGGCGGCCGAGCCGAAAGAGGGCTGAACGGGAATAGCAACACGCGACCGAGACCAAGAGAGAGAGACTTACCAGGACGCAACTCGTAAATCTCGACATCGTGACCGCGTTGCGCGGCATAAAGCGCAGCCAGCGAGCCAACTGGGCCAGCGCCCACAACTACAACTTTCTGTTTGCCGGCCATTGCTAGTTGGGCGCCGAAGCCAGAAGATTCTCCAATTCCAACGGGATGGAAAGCTGGAAAAAGGAAAATAGTTCACGGCCGGTGGCGTGAAGAGAGTCGCATGATGATTTCGCACATTGGCGGGTCGAGTCGGCCGGGGGGAGAAGCAGAGTGGGCGGCCGGGGACAGAGGGACAGAGGGAGAGAGCGTCAATGACTTGCCGCAACGCCGCAGAGCGCACCTTTCTTTCACCTGCATTTGAAAGCTTTTTTCCACCAAGAGTCCAGCTTCAGGTCCAGGTCCAGGTGCTGCCCGTTACCGTCTCGGAGACGTCGGCTATTTCCCGGAAGCCCCGACAAGGGAAGCTCCGCGGTGCCATTAGCTTCGGCCTTTAGCCGCAAACGCTGGCCACCTGAAGTTGGTATCGCCTATCGATAACAGTTTATCGGATAAGATAATAGCCAGTCGATAAGACACCTCAGACCGTTGGAGCAAGCGCCCGCCCGCCAGCCCACCAAAAATTGTCGCTGTTGGTGGCGGGGAACCAACCTGGGACGGTGCGTGTGGAAGCGCCCGAGCTGCGGCAACGTACCTATCACAGCCTCGGACTCTTGGCCTCCACTAGAAATAATTCTTCGTCAGGTCACTTTTCAGTCGTACCGTGTTATATGCTGTACTGCTAGCTGCCGCGCCGCATTCTCCATCCGAGCCCTGCTGTTCTCAGGGTCCTTTTTGCGTCGGCTTCCATTGTCTGTTTCCAAGTTTGTTCAAACACCGACCTCACCTCGTGATCACCACTGCCACTTGCGACACACGACCGACGACCGCCCACCATGACGGAACCCCCCGCGAAGAAGAAGTGCTTGGGAGTCGACTGCCCCAACGATGCTGGCTCCCTCCAGTGTCCGACATGCTTGAAGCTGGGAATCAAGGACAGCTACTTCTGCTCGCAGGACTGCTTCAAGAAGAACTGGGTTAGCACTGCAGAATCATGCCCGCGACGACCACCGCGACGGCTGCTAACTGCGCGCAGGGCAACCACAAGGCCATGCACAAGACCGAGACAAGTATACTCCACCACGTCCTCCCGCCAAAGGTCGTCTCTAAACCAGATCCAGAGACAGGTGTCTTCAACCCTTTCCCGACTTACCCCTTCAGCGGACCCCTCCGACCCGTCTACCCTCTTTCTGCCCGCCGCGAGGTTCCCAAGTCAATCCCCCACCCCGACTGGTGGCAAGATGGCCAGCCCAAGTACCCCAGGTCCATCCTGAACAGGAACAAGGTTGATATCTTGGATGCAAAGGGAATTGAAGGCATGCGCAAGGTCTGCCGCCTGGCAAGAGAGGTGCTGGATATTGCTGCCGCTGCCATCAAGCCCGGCATCACCACGGACGCCATTGACGAGATTGTCCACAAGGCTTGCATAGAGCGAAACGTGAGTGCTATGCGCTGAAATCAGCGCGCGTAGGCAGAAGAGCTGATTAGGTGCCGAACAGTCCTACCCCTCTCCCCTCAACTACAACCACTTCCCCAAGTCGGTATGCACCTCTCTCAACGAGGTCATCTGCCACGGCATTCCCGACCAGCGCGTCCTGCTCGACGGTGATATCCTGAACATTGACGTTACGCTGTACCACGAGGGCTACCACGGCGATCTCAACGAGACGTACTACGTTGGCGAGCGGGCAAAGGCCGACCCCGACTCCGTCAGGGTGGTGGAGGCTGCTCGCGACTGTCTGGACGCCGCCATCGCTGCGGTCAAGCCCGGCACCCTGATCCGCGACTTTGGCAACATCATCGAGAAGATCGCCAAGGAGAGGAACTGCAGTGTCATCCGCACGTACTGCGGCCACGGCATCAACAAGCTGTTCCACTGCCCTCCCAACGTCCCTCACTACGCCAAGAACAAGCAGGTTGGCGAGTGCAAGCCCGGCATGACTTTCACCATTGAGCCTATGATTGCTCTTGGTAAGTACCGGGACATCACTTGGCCCGACAACTGGACCAGCACAACGATTGACGGCAAGAGGACTGCGCAATTTGGTGAGTAATATCTGGTGAAAGATAGCAGGCATGGATAGATTGCTAATGATGTTATAGAGCACACGCTCCTTGTCACTGAGGATGGCGTGGAGGTCCTCACTGCCAGGAAAGCCGACTCCCCTGGTGGAAAGATCCCGATGCCCGGCGCCAACGGCGATGCCAACGGAACGACCGCATAAACAAGCATTAGCATACACATATGCATAAACAAGCAGCAGGAGGCGTTGTGATCAGGGTGAAAACAGGGAGATACATGGTTTGGTGCAGTATTTACGTGGTGACGACTGGCAACACCTAGGTATCGAGCTCATGCAAGGTGTTGAGCCGGCAAAGCGGACGAGGTTGCTAGCGTTGGGCATGATACCTTGGAGAATCGTGACTTGAAAAGCGAAAGAATTGATACTGAAAGCACGGGCACGTGAGATCGGATCCAAGCGTGACGTCTGGGGCGGTCCCCTGTCCCATGTGGTGGACGGAAAAGACAGCTGTCAGTCGAGGGGCATTTATGCCAGGGACATCCCAAGTTAGGGACCTGGACATGTGCTTCTGCTGTTCAAGCTTCCGGTCCAGGCTGCGACTCGGACTCGTAATACAATAGCACGCGTCGTAGGTGGCCAACCGGGCCAAGACCGGCAGAGAGCCCGTCGAACCCCCAGCCTCCGCTCCCAGCCACCCGGCGGGCACAGAATGGACGTTTGACGATGATGCGAAATGCCACTCTCCCCACCAGGCACAGCCATTGATGGACTGCCAACAGCTGGATGAGGGGCGGGAGCGGCACCTGGCAGCTGGGACGAAGGAGGGGTCCTGTTCGCTGCGATGGGGACCCCTGGGGATTTTTCTGGGATTTTTCTGTGTTTCCCCTCACGCTTGTGCCGTCAACTGCTCAGTGTGGCTCAACTGGCGGGTCTGGAATTCGCGGCCACGCATCGATGGGATTCGCTGGGGTCGCCGGTCGGAGAGAAATCAGAAAACCGCTGCCGGAGGATTTTCTAGCGGTACGTATCCCCTGTATTGCCTGGTGCATCTGGACTAAGGTATTGGTGCACCTGTGAGGTGCAGGCTGGCGGGGCGCCATCCCGGGGCGCTGACTGGCTGTTGGTCGGGTGTTGGCCGCTGCTGGCCAGGCAGGGAGCCCAATCTGGGCCTGCCCGCTGCTTGGAGGTTCCATTCAGTTGAAGGGTATCTCACGCTGCCCTGGTGGTGGTTGTGGTGGTGTGCTGGAGCAAGGCATCGACACTGGAGCCTCTTTCATCATCAGAAGGGAAAACCTAGCCCCGTAGCCTTTGCCCGCGCGCACCACACCCACCCTCCCGATTTTCCACGGCCCAACCTCAGTCAACGGCACACTACCTTACCTCAGTAGCTTTGCTTGTGTGGTGTCCTCGACCTAGTTCGGCTCGCTTCCTACCTACCTGGGGGCGTTAGTTAGCCATGTTAAGCGTAAAACTCCCCCTACTCACATAGGGGGCGAAAAAATGGGGTTTCTACGCAAAAAAGGGGGTTTCTAGCTAGTTACGTAAAAGTTGCGTTTTTCTTATTTTACTATTAAAAAATATCTTTTTTAAGACTATACTATAACTTAAAATTATGCTTTTTTTAATTACTTCTTTTAATCCTAGTTACTAGAATACTTTACTAAAGTGATACTAACTTAATGCTTACTAAATAAGCTATATAGGTATTATATACTATATAATATTAAGCCTTCTACCCTAGTTACTTTAATAAGTCTCTATTTATAGTACTATTAATTTAGGCTATTACTAGGGGTTATAAGGTATTTTATATAGTAGTGAGGAAGTATCTAAAAGCTCTTTAAACTAATTATAATATCTCTATACTACTTAAAGAGGGTAGCTAGCTAAAGTTATTAATAGAGGTTAAAAACTTAGCCTTAGTAGCGTTCGTTATATAGCTTAATATTACTAGCTTTCTAACTACTTTACTTATTATTAAAAAGATAGCTAATACCTTTTAAGCTAACTAAGGTTTAAGCTTTATTTTAGAGTATTTTATAAAGTTCTAGAAAGCTAATTATTTAGAGTTTTAGAAGGGATTAAGGATTAAACCTATTAAGGTTTACTAAAAAGGTACTAAGTTTAACTTAGTATTAATATAAAACTTTTTTAATTAATATAAAGCTATAGCTTAAGATTATAAACTTAAACTTTCTAAGATCTAGAATATTAATAAGTTTAGCTACTATATTAGCTACCTTAATAGCTATATATATATTATTTTACTTTAAGGATAATAAAAATAGAATAAATTATATAAAGTTATTAATCTAGCTAATAGAGAGTTATATACTTTAGTTAGTAGTAGTAATATTATTAGAGATATTATCCTAGCTTATTTTATTTTTAAGATATAGCTAATTACTATTTAAGCTAATTATAATATTAATAAGGGTGTTTACTTTATATAGTTTCTAACTACTTTCTCTAATTAAGAGATTATAATAGATTATATTAAGTATTTTAATATATACTTATTTAAGAAGTTAGTGAAATTTTAGTAACTTAGGTATATTATAGAGTTATAGTTTAGTGTTAATATATATAGAGGCTACTCTAATTAGCTTAGGATATATAGCGTAATACTAAGTACTTATGCTAAGTTATATAGAGATATACTTTAAGAAGAAGCTAGTATAAGGTTATATTAGTTACTCCTTCTAGATAGCTTCTCTAGGTATATTAGCTTAAAGTTTATAAAATATTATATTAACTTTAATATTATTATTAGGTTTTTTCCCTCTTATACTATATATTTATTTTAGTTTATAGATATAGAGGTTTTCTAGCTATTTAAGAAGGCTTATTAGATAGTGCTATAAGAGGCTATATAAAGTAGTGCCTTTATATTTATATATAAAGACTTTATTAATAGCTTTTACTAGATAATAGATACTGCATTTATACGCCTAAATATTATAGTAAGGTTTAAAAAGTTAAGTATTTAGTTAATTAAAGATAATATAGTCCTCTCTTAATTAATTAAATATATATAGTTAGCCTAAGTTAATATATTTAGTTACCTCTTCTATTACTTATTAGATAATAATAGGTTTAAGAGAGCTATACTATAAGCTAATACTATTAAGTAATATTATAATACTAAATAGAGCTCCCCTACTTAGAGGGGTTATAAAGTAATAAAGTCTATAATCTTAGAAAGTAATCTATACTATAAGAGAGGTTAGGAGTATATTATTAACTAAAATACTTAGATAGAGTTATAGTAATATAAGTAGTAGACTTAGTGAGGTATTAAACTATAATACTTATTTATAATAAGTGTAATATTTATAGAGATTATATAGTAATAAGAGATATAAGTTATTAAGGTTATTAAGAAGGAGATTAAGTAGTAATATACTATATTAAAAAAGGAGGTTAAGAGGTAGGAGAAGGAAGTATAAGTAGAGTATATAGCTATAAAGTACTAACTAATTAATAAGTATATAAAATAACTAAATTTTAAATAGTAGCTTACTTATATTAATAAGATTAATAACTATATATTATTTAATATAAAAGACTTATAATAGTATAAGCTACTTAAGCTTAAGTAGTAGATTAATCTTAACTTTATACTACTACTAAAAGAGACTTTAGATACTATTAAATATTATATAAGGCCTCTTAGCTACCTTAATATTAGAGAGATATTAGTTATAAGAAGGTATTATATTAATAATAGTAACTTAGATATTTATAATAATATTAATAACCCTATTAAGGAGGATAGTGATAATACTACTTTAAGTGTTAATTTAGTTAGTAATTTTAGAGTTAATAATAATATTATTAATACTAATAAGCTTAAGTTACTACTATTATTAGTGCTAGCTTTACTAACTATACTAGCACTAATAGTAGCATATTAGGCACCTTACTTTACTCTATAAGAGGGTTTAGTATATTTCTATATTAATAGTATTATAGAGGGTAACTTTCTAATAACGCCTCTATTAATATAAGTAATAAAGAAATAGAAATATATTATTAATAATATAGAAAGTAATAATATAGTTATCTTCTATAGCTTATTAATACTTATATAAGATATATAGATATTATATATATAGCTAGATAGCCTTACTTAAGAGTAATATAATAATACTACTTTTATTACTATATAATATAGTTAAGGCTGAAAATTATATTACGAAAAGTTATTAATTTAGTGGGCTAATACTGAAAAATGCCACTTTTAGTGATGTGGGTAGAAACCCCCTTTTTTGCGTGGAAACCCTGTTTTTTCGCCCCCTACGTGAGTAGGGGGTCTAGCGTTAGCCCGCGCCGCTTGGACCCCCGGGTAACCTTGCCTCTCTTACCTCACCTGGCTTCGCCTCGCCTCGCCTTGCCTCAACTTGCCTGCTCGAGTATCCGTACTGCAGCAGAGTCTCCTCCGTCTCCGTCCCCGTCTCTACTTCTTGCCTTCTCCCACCAAAAAGCCAACAAGATCCTACCACGACTCGACTTCGCCATCGACCCCTTGGATACCCACACGTGTCGTCTGGCTCTGTCTATCCATCTCCCTCGCACTTTTCTGCAGCTTCCGCAGCATCCCCCCGACTGCAATTCCTGACTGCAACGGTTGCCTCGGCGCAGAGCTTCCCTCGTACATCACCCCAGTGACGTCGAAGCATTCCACCCGCCCGCATCGCACACAGCTCCAAACCAACCCTTTTGAGCGCAGAAAAAAAGAGACGAGAGCTTCCCCTCCTGTCTCCAACAACAGCACGCCCGATCAGTGCTGTCTGTATCTCTGCCAACTAAACACCTCATCATCTCCATATCGATCAAGCGCAGCTCGCTGCCAAAGCCGTCAACATGTCTGGCGAAGCGTGGTTATACCTCCTCGCCGTCCTCATAAATGCCGTCAACCTGTTCCTCCAAGTCTTCTTCACCATCATGTACAGCGATCTGGAATGGTACGTTGATCTCCTCCTGCCCTTGAGTCGGCGCGCGCCCACCGTGCATCGCCGCTGGCCGCTGCTCTGCGAGCTTAGACAAGCTACAGCTGCTGCAGACGGCTGCAAGAGCGCGCTCGTGCTCTTGATACCTTCAAAGATGGGACAATTGACAGCTAACCCTCACCTCCTACAGCGACTACATCAACCCCATTGACCTCTGCAACCGCCTCAACACCTACATCATCCCCGAAGCCGCTGTCCACGGATTCCTGACGTTCTTGTTCCTGATTAACGGCTACTGGGTGCCGCTGATCCTGAACCTGCCGCTGCTTGCCTACAACATCAAGAAGTACGTCACATGCTAGAGACCACTGCGGAGAAAGGACGCAAGCTGACTTTGGCCTAGGATTGTCGACAACACCCACTTGCTGGATGCTACCGAGATCTTCCGCAAGCTGAACGTCCACAAGAAGGTAACCAAGCACCACCCTAGCAGAGGTCGATGCATGCCCATATCTAACGCCATTGCAGGAGTCCTTCGTGAAGCTCGGCTTCCACCTCGTCATGTTCTTCTTCTACCTCTACAGCATGATCGTCGCCCTCATCCGCGACGAGGCTCACTAGAGATGAATCGCTTACTGCGAACGACAACGGGACGGATTCCAGTACATACATTACCATGCCGTGTGGACGAAAGTGAGCACACCGAAACGCAGACACTGCGCCTCCCCGCAGCCGGACGCTACGAGGTGGCTCATTATGAAGGCATAAAGCAGGCAACTGCTAGACATGGGGTCATGATACCAGGATGCGGTGGTGGTGGTCTGGGGCGGAGAATGCGGCGCGGGTGCCCGCGCCTTGGTCTCCCGGAGTTTACGGGCAGAGGTTTGGTTTATGATCGCCTCCGTTTGGGATTCTGATGATGATGAACGGGAAAGCAATGTGACAAAGGGGTGGAGGAAACGGTTGTGGAGGTTTATGATGCGAAAGACAAATACCTAGCTGTTTACTTTATGTTGCTGCCAGGCCGGCTGGTCCTGGGAGCGGCGGGTTGCGATAATTGAGTAATGACAGATGTTTTATTGTGCCTCTTGCCCCTCTGCTGCTGCTCTCATCATCATCAGATAAAGCTTGCCAGCAGCCTTTCCAGGGTTCGATTCGTAAGTGTCCTGTGCTCGCTGGCTGCAGCTGTCCAAGCTTTTCTGCACCCAGGAGCTTGCATCGCAGCGAAAGCTCAGGCCTGACATCAGAGTCACGTGACACCAACTTTTGCAGATGCGACCAGGACCTTGACAGTCGCGACCAAATCCTCCAACCGCGACGCAACCGCCTTTCAACCCCCAAATCTTCCGCGAACAGACGACCATAACCAAGATGTCGGGCTTTGGAGAGTACACGCCAAACATGGCTCCTCAGGACGCCCTGATTGTGCGTCAGGAAGCAGAGCCCGACCACGCCGTCGTCCCCTACACCGGCGAGGACCTTGCCCGCCCGAAGCTGGGGCCCGCGAACCCATTCAAAGACGAGACAAACACCACCCTGAAGCGCAAAAACGTTCTCACGGGGACGGCGGAAGAGACTTTCCTGTCAGAACATACCTTCCGCAGCAAGCACCGCGCGATCGAGCGGAAAGGAGGACCGGAGCGCGAGTACCAGACGGGCGAGGCGGTCAAAGAGGAGGCGGCGAGGATACGCTCCGGGCGCGAGAAGAAGGGCGACGCATCGATTGCGGAGGGCGACGGCGCATATGTCGGGCCCTGGGCGCGGTACCGTCGCGAGGAGTATGAGGTCGTCCGCGAGGGGGAGGAGCTTGCGAGCGACGAGGAATACGAAGAAGTCACGGACGACGACGATGTGGTGGAGAGCGGCACCGTCGTGCGCGCACCCGAGGCCGCCCTGACTAGGAGGATGGAGGTCGAGGAGATGGGCGAGGAGACGACGACTTTCCACGGCGCCGCGGAGCGGGACTACCAGGGCCGGACGTACATGCACGTCCCGCAGGACCTGGACGTCGACCTGCGCAAGGAGATCGGCAGCATCACGAACTACATCCCCAAGAAGCAGATCCACACCTGGCGCGACCACGGCAAGGCCGTCACGGCGCTGCGCTTCTTCCCGGGGTCGGGCCACCTGCTGCTCTCGGCCTCGGCGGACTCGACGGTCAAGATCTGGGACGTCTACCACGAGCGCGAGCTGCTGCGGACGTACTCGGGCCACTCGAAGGCGGTGGCGGATGCGACATTCAACAACGACGGCACGCGGTTCCTGTCGGCGAGCTTCGACCGGCAGATCAAGCTGTGGGACACGGAGACGGGCAGCTGTCTGGGCAAGTTCTCGACGGGCAAGACGCCGCACGTCGTGCGCTTCAACCCGTCTGCGGAGCATGCGCATGAGTTTGTGGCGGGCATGTCGGATAAGAAGATTATCCAGTGGGATACCCGCGCCGGCAACGAGATTGTGCAAGAATACGGTATGTTTCTCTTTTGTTTTTGTCTTGCTCCCGGTATATGCTAATATGTATACAGACCACCATCTGGCCGCAATCAACACAATCACCTTCGTCGACGAGGGTCGCCGCTTCATGACGACATCAGACGACAAGTCGCTGCGCGCGTGGGACTACAACATCCCCGTGCCGATCAAGTACATCGCGGAGCCGTACATGTACCCGATGACGCGGGCGGCGCCACACCCGAGCGGCAAGTACGTCGCGTTCCAGTCGTCGGACAACCAGATCGTCGTGTACGGGGCCAACGACAAGTTCCGGCAGAACCGCAAGAAGTCGTACCGCGGGCACAACAACGCGGGCACGGCCATCGACGTGGACGTGTCGCCCGACGGGCAGTTCCTGGCGAGCGGCGACACGCAGGGCTACGTCTGCTTCTGGGACTGGAAGACGTGCAAGATGTACCACAAGCTGAAGGCCGGCGACCAGGCCGTCACGTGCGTCGCGTGGCATCCGCAGGAGACGAGCAAGTTTGTCTCGGCCGGCGCGGAGGGGGATATCCGGTACTGGGACTAAGAGGGGGGAGGCTCTCAGGGGCTACGTTCAGAGAAGCACGCGGGCTTTCTTGTATTGTTTTGTAGGCATTGCTTGGCGTTGGGAGAAAAGGGGAATGCAAAAATTTGGACTCGCGCGTGTGTGTTGCGCGCAGTATGCTACTTGTATGACTTTGGTGCAAGCACTCTCAACCAGTCACAACTAAGAGATGGGCCGAATGGTCTAGTTGGTAAAGCATCTGTAACAACTTAAAACCAATACCGCCCGATGAGTTTCTGGTTACTTTGTTGAGGGTAGGGGCGCTCAGTTCGAAATAAGCGAGGAGGGCCTAACGGATGACCGTCGCGTTATCTTTTGTTATTATGGTCTGATTTCTTTTTTTATATAGAAGCTATCTATCTTCTAAAAAGAGGTATTGCTGCCGTTTTTTGGTGAGGCTCGTGATGGGAAGTTCGTTCCTTCCTTGTGGTGTTCTAAGATGATGTTGAAGATGTCCGTACTTCCACCGACTCCTTCCCGCTTTAAATCTCAAAACGCCGCCTCGAGCTAGAACAATGTCAAATTCTAGCAAATTGGCTTCCACTGGACTACTGCAAAAATAGAACAGCTTGAGATTTAGTCAGTCCAGGCTACTTTCTCAGGCACACGGAGCGCGCCGGCGCAGATGGCTGAAGTAATCCGGCGCCTCCTTCCCGCAAATCAGGTGGTGCAGTCATCGACGGACCATTCTTGGCTTAGCTACCCCAAATGCATGTCTCAAGCTGCTGTCCCGCGCATTAAATCTACCTCGACCTTCTTTTTCTCACCTTCGTATCATACCTCTTGTCACCTCACTCGCGAAAGAAATAGGTCAATCACATGTTCGTCTGATCTTTTCCTCACCTGCCATCCCGGAAGGCCGTCATATCTTCGACCTCCGACGGTCTTGTCCCTCCCCTTTTCTTCCGGGTTGTCACGATTCCTCCGTATAGCACTGGCACGCGGAGATGGACTCAATGTACTTCGACGTCTTCCCCGCGGACGACTCAGAATCCAGCAGCGACGAGGACAACGAGTGCGCGCCATCTCTGGAGGTCCCGTGTGCGCGGTGCAAGGACAGGAAGCAGCTGTGCAAACGATGCAAACGGCGCCAGCAAATTTCGAGCTCTGGAGCGAGGAAGTCGTCGCTGGAGAAGGCTTGCTTCCCTCCCCGCGCGATCACCTCCGACGCTCCCGCTGCCGTTCCCGAGGCGCTCCTCCCGCCACTGAAAGACGAGACTCCTACGCCGAGAAACGGGGCAGCGGCCCCGGTGTACGCGGCCATGTACACCGCCTCGCCGTCGTGGATGTCGACTTACACGTCGAGCACGTGCGCCACGACGTACACCGCGGCGCATGAGCGGTCGCAGCGCGAACGCGCGCCGCTTCTGGAGGTTGCGGGCCAGACGAGGAGGAGGATGCAGCCCCGCCGGCCGCGGATGAATGAGAGGCGGCGGCCTTCTGGGTGGCAGACGAGCGAGGTTGAAGGGTGGGATGAGAGGGAGATCGAGGGGGGCGGGAGTTACTGGGATTTCGAAGGGGCGCGGTGGGAGGAGCAGAGGATACGCACGCCGGAGCGGAGGGCGCAGAAGAGGGTTTGGCAGAATGAGAGGGCTCTGAGGGCGCCGGTTGCGAAGGGGGCCGGGAGGAGAAGGAAGTGGGATGAGCAGAAGGGGGAGCTTCGATGGAGGTCGCGGCCGCTGGTTGAGCCGCTGACGCCGAGGTATCTTTATGATGTCTTGGTGGTGCAGAGGGCGAGATTGCTGGAGATGACGTTCATCTCTGGGAAGGGCCATTCGAGGGTTGTATTTGGGATGGCATATGCGAGGGGAACGGGGCACGCGAGAGGTCTCTTTTGTTTGCCTGCTCCGAAATATGAGCCTTCTGGAGATGGGTCTGGGTTCATGTGGAGGGAAGGGATATGGGCTGGTTTGTTTGGGTGGTTGTGGGGGACTGAAAGGGGTCCTGCTATTGATGTGAGGGACATAGACTAATGGTTCAATATCTAAAGCAAGATCAACCTTGAGTGTCGGGCTAAACAAAGTGAGAAAGACTCTTGCCATTACCTTAAGGGGCCCAAGGCACGAGAAAATACAACTCAAATCTTTTCCACCACCCCTTGCGTATCCTTGATTGTTTATCCCGGCAGCTTCCTACTGACCTTGCACGTTTGATATTTTATTCCCTCCACCGCCCTGGCTCTGCTCTGCTTATATGTCAGCTTGGTATGGTAGCCCTTGTAGTCATCCTCCACTCTTCGTCCTCCCTGACGTTTTGATGAAGGATGATTGTTCCCCCTCCAGCGTCGTCCTCTACTTGTTCATCGACTGAATCATCGCTTTTGTTACTTGTGTTCTGAGCCTCCTCTTGTTGTAACCCCTCATCTTTCTCTTCCTCGACTTTGTCTTGCTGGAGATCGGTCTGTTCCCTCTGACCCCCTTTCTTGCCGGCCCGTGAATCGTCGCTCGTGTTCGAATCCCCTCCTTGTTGTGGTTCTTCATCTTGCTGTTCCTGTACCTCTCCACCTTGCTCCGCCTGGTTGTCTTGCTGATTCATTTCGTCCGGCTGCTCATCCTGTCGCTCATCCGGTTGCTCATTGTCCTTCTCATTTTCTTGATCCGAGTCTTGCTGCTGCTGGTTTTGCAGGCCGTCATCTTGCTGTTCGTCATCCTGCTGACCATCAACTTGCTGTTGGCCGTCGTCTTGCTGTTCCTGATCTTGTTCCTGATTTTGTCCCTGATTCTGCTGCTGATCTTGCTGTGGAGGAGGAGCCAGCTGAGATCCACCATTCTCCCTCCTCGCAGCCCTGTTTGCCGCTCTCTTCGTCCTCGCCGCCGCCTCTCTCTTCCTCTTCGCGGCTACTCTCTTATCGTGCGCCTCTTGTCGTCGCGCCGCGTCCGCAGCCCGCTTCGCTGCCTCTCTCCTCTCCCTATCCTTCTGCATTTGGTTGAGGTTCCTAAGTCCGTAACGAGGATGAGTGTGCCGGGGAGGTTGTGGGTTGTTTTGGGCAGGAGCAGGCGCGGGAGCTGGAGCTGGAGCCTTGGGGGCCGCCTTTTTGCCCTTCGCTTCACCCTTTGTAGCAGGCCTAGCGGACTTTGCCATAGCATAAACCGTTGCACACTCGATGACGCTGATATCTTCACTTTCCATCATCTCCGTGTCGCTATCGCTGAAATGATCGCCAGGAGGGGGGACGACAGGTCTGGTTCCAGCTGAAGGCGACGGCTTGCGGCGCTTAGGACACGGAACCGCGTCGCCCTCATCTTCATTTTTGTCATCCCGCGAATGCTTGTACTTGTTGCAGCTTCCCTTCGCGCTCGGCGGGAGATGAGCGCATGCTTTCTTTGCCAGCCCTGTAGGACGACCACCGCGTTTCGGTCGGCAGAATGCGGGATGGTCGCTCGTCCAGGTCCCGCGAAACCCGTTACGTAGCGCATCCTGGATTTCTTCGAGGTCTTTGCGGATGCTGCTGATGCGCATGGAATCGACGTCCTGGCGCTCCGAGACCATGTCCATACGGTCGTCCAGCGATTCCTGCATGGCTTCAGAGCCAGACTGGCGGCTTTCGATGCGATCCTGTCGCTCAGAGAGAATTTGCATGCGCATATCGGTGTTGACCTCCCATGTACGGCGCTGTGTAGGCGAAGGGACGAGATGGTCGTGGCCTGAGCCTGGGGATGGGGTCCGACGAAAGCCGAAACCCGCAACATAGTCGTATCCAGGCTCTTTGTAGTCTGGGAGGCTTCTGGTGTCATAGGAATGAGTGGGCGTGGAAGAAGGCGAGCTACGAACGTACTGAGGCATGGGGCCGTTGACGTTGAGGTGGGAGTCGAGGTCAAAGGACATGGCGACATCTTGGGGGGTGTCGGGGGAGGTGTCCATGTCGGATGCGTTCGAGGTATTGGAGCTCAAACCCGTTTGAAAATGATTCAAAACGGACTCAATGCTGGGCAATTTGGCTGCTGAATCGGATTCGACGCTGTGTTGGATGGAAGTTAGATTTGGAAATATTCTTGTGTGATCGCGACTGCGAGTTGTGGGCTTAGTTAAGATGGTCGATTGAGCCGGCTGGCACCCGTGATATATGGTTGTCGAAACCTGCAAACCAAGTGAAAGTACAATGCTTTGGTGAAATACAATGGGCTTTGTTAGCGGAGAGTCGCCCGCCAACTGCACGAGCATCTCGATTTGCCTTTGACTAGATGAAGATGGCTGTGAGGTAAGGTCAAAGTAGCGAACTTTGATCCTTGAACAGTCGCGGTGTAAGAGAAATGGTTTCATTGTCTTCTGATGTATCTTTTGCATACTCCAGGCAACAAAACCTCAAGGCCATATGGGCCGTTGGACAAAGGCGCCTGTACATGTCGCCTCGACAAGCAGGCACCTCATTGTCTTTCACTCTTAATGGACCCTGATCTTCCCTTTACATATCATAGGTCTGCGGTATGGTCTTTCATGGATATGGCTAGTCTTCATTGGCTGGTTTCCGCATCGGCCTTTGACTTGACAGGAGTGGTGACCATGAGGTCGATGAGGGAATAGGCGACCTCGGCCGCGGCCAGTACTGTTGTTTCGCCGGCGTTGTCGTAAACAGGTGCCACCTCGACCACATCGGCGCCAACAACCGAAAGGCCTTCTAGACCCTCGAGAATTGTGAGAAGCTCCCGGGTTGACCAGCCTCCAGGTTCAGCCGTCCCGGTGGCTGATATGCGTTAGCATACAGATCGCGAAGTAGAAATGGGCCAGCTGGAAATACCTGGGGCGTAAGCCGGATCAAGGACATCAATGTCGACACTGATGTAAACCTTGGAATCACCGACACGCTCCTTGATCTTGGAAATAACGCCGTGCGCGCCGAGCTTGTCGAGGTCCCGCGCCGTTACTATCTCAAAGCCGCATCGAACATCGTTTCTCAGATCACCCTTTCGTCTGATAAGAGGGGCTCGAATTCCGGCATGGATTGAAGTGTTCAAGATGACTTGCTAGCGGAGTCAGTTGTGATCTGATTTGTTTTTGCTCCAAATTTGGTTACTTCTTCGTGGGCAATGTGTAAGAAGGTACCGTGGTTGAGGCCCCTGGCAGCAAGTCAGTCACCGTGACAAGTTCACGAAGAGGGACTTGTCAACTCACGCATAATCCGATATGCTTCCACCTGACAGGCTCAAGCATAAGCATTAACACAAATTTCGGTGAGACGCACTTACCAAGAACGGAAGGGTCCCACGTATCTGAAGTGCAATGTCAGCAACTGATGCCGCGGTGGTCAGTGGTCGTTGAGACGAACCAATATGACTATCAAAGTGAATGACAGAGACAGGTCCCCATTTCTCATACGTTGATCGAAGAGCTGACAATGTTGTCGTATGGTCGCCGCCCAACGCGAGAATTCTTGGTGTGACAGACACGGCCGAATTTGCTGCTGGTCGGCCGGAGATGCCCTTGTCCTCATTAGCATCTTGTTCCTGGATTTGGAGCTAAAGCCCTGTCACCTTGTGTGCCTTGTCAAGTCGCTTCAGGGAAACGGTATTATCCAACCATGTAAGACGTGCATCACCACAGTCAACCACTCTGGCCCAACTTTGCAAGGGGTCACGACCTATGAGGACGGTCAGCTAGACTGCCGACTTGTGCGGCCGCTTGAGTGGGGGGGGAGCCGACCGGTGAAAATGTCCCACTGCCCGGGCCCTTTTCTCTGGCTGCCCATACGAATGGCCGGTGGGCCAAATCGAGCTCCGGGGCGGCCAGTAGTTGTCTGTTGCGTGCATTAAGTCAGATCCGCTGATTGATGTTGGATTCGGAGTGGACAGACTGTATCGTGAGGGGCGCCGAAGATGGCAATGTCATATAATTGACCTTCGGCGTCCCCGCCAGAGAAGCAATCCACGAACGGAAGATTGGCAAAGGTCTTCAGTCCGGCGATGGTATCGGCTCCGAAGATGTCGATGTCGTCGTCATTGGTTTGAAAGGTCAACGGCATCTGGCCGTGAGGGGAATTGGCCAGGACTCGGTGGGGGAGCTGCCACGCAGCTGTGCCTTGAAGGCCAAAAAGAGCAACGAAGAGGACATGCATCGTTGATAGCAAGCAAGCTCTGCGACTAGATGATTGTCAATTCAAACTCCCTCTGTCGCCAATTGGTAGAGAAAAAAACTGTAAAATCTCTCAGGACAAACAACGGTAGCGCGCCCAGCGCTATGAAGTCGAATGGTGCCTATCGGGGAGAAACAGCGAGCCGAACATTACCTACGGAGGTTCCTTCATCCGTCCGTCCCTGCCTCGTTCCTAATCGTCTTGCATATTCAATCTGCACCAACCTCTTCCCATAAAGGAAAGAACGACACTTCGTCAGGCAGTTGCCGGGCAATGAGGGAGACGAGGTTTCCTTTCGCGAAAAGTCGAGCGCACGATGTTTGCCCACTGCTCGATGCCTAGGGCGTCGTCGCAACTTCATCCAGACAACAATCCTTCTGCGCTGCCATCTCCAAGCCATCAACATCGCATCACCCACCTAAGATGATGGCAGCAATCGCTTGACCTACCTATTGTCCTCTACGAACTGCATTTTTAGCAATCATCTTTCTTTCTGCTCTTTCAGCTCCGAATCGGGAAACAACTCTCTTCTTCCTCACCTGCCGCACCATGAATCTCCGATTTGGTGGAATACGCAACGAAAACATCCGCCTGACGCAGATTGACCACGACGGCGCTGTTGACGACGACGATGCAAATGAAGGTCCTCCAAGACCTCTCCCAAAGAGCAACTGGAGATCCATCTCGAAATAGTGGATCGATGAATACCTCCTCGTCGCAGTCTGCATCATCGGGGCGATTGCCTTGGGAATCATTTTCAAAAGATTCGATGATGATTTGGTACCAGTGCTGCCCTTAGGTGTCGACTTCGACGTCATCATCGTGGCCATGTTTACATGTGTTCGCGTTGCAATGAGTGGCATCGTCGAATCCTGCATCAGCCAGGCCGCTTGGATTTGGGTCTCTGAAGCGCGCCAAAGCCGTACCCACGACATGCGTGCAAGGTTGGAAGACTTCAAGATATACGACGAGGCCTCGCGCGGCCTCTGGGGGAGTATCTGCCTCATCTGGCGTCTGAGGGCAAGGTAATGGATGCAGCACTCAACACTCTTGGATCATTCCCATGATTGACTTTGAAAAATAGGCACCTGGCATGCATCGGTGCCTTGATTGTCATCTTGGTCCATGGACTTGAGGCATCCTCTCAACAGCTGTATCAATACGAGCCCAGACCATGGACAAACGAGACAGCAGGTCTAGTCAAGCCTCCCCCGAGAAGTGATTTGTAGGACTTCACGGTAAAGCGGGCCCTTGATACTCGTGAGTAGATGTTTTCTCGTCGCTTCACTTTTCCTGACAAAACGCAGGGCCGGCGCTAAACGTATCCACGAAAGCCGCCATTTATAGTGGCATTCTCTCGCTCGATGTCAAAGATATCGGAGCCGATTGTAAACCTGAAAACCATACCTGTGCGTGGAAATACGTTCCAACACTCGCGGTTTGCGGCGAATGCAACAAACTGAGTGTCGAGACCATGTGCACCGACAAGTCACAGACTTGCCTGTACAGGACGCCATCCAACACTTCATTCGATGTCGCCAATTCACCGAACACGGAAAAATTCAAGGTGACGAACTCGCCTGCCGGTATCTTCCATCACATGAACTCAACTTCACGCACCTACATCAACGTATTTGATTTCCTTTGGGTGTCGAGAACAAGGCAGAAGACCAAGATCCTTGCACATGAATGCGCCCTATGGTTCTGCATCAAGACTTACACGATCGAGGTTGATGACGGCGGTTTGAACCAGACATATCTTGATGCCTGGAACACAACACGATTTGAGAAGGACAACAGCGCGCATTTTGGAGAGTACGTGTTTGTCAACATACCGAAAGAAATGCACGTTGAGAAACCATCTCGATACAGCGTCACCAAGGAGGCATTAGCGGCACTACAGAGGTTCATAGATCCCCTGCTTGAGGGAACGTTCGAAAGTCAGTACACCATTATCAACTTCTCCTCGGATTGGGTCGAGGGTCTCTACAACGCTCAAGGGAACCTCAAAGACTGGATCGGTCGGTTCAGCACCAGTCTCACGAATGAGGTGAGACTGCATGGGCGCATTCGAAACGAGCAGAAAGACCGGCAGCGGTACGGCTGTCCGGCAGTCATGGAGAGGCAGATGATTATCGTCGCGTGGTGGTGGCTCATTTTCCCGGCGGCTTTGATTGTCATCAGCATCTACTATCTCTTCCACACCATTATCCGGGGAGCCCGCGATGACATATCTGTGTGGAAGAGCGACTCGCTGCCAATGCTGTTCTGCCGAATCGATCCCTCGATCCTCCTTAAAGTCGGCGATGGCATGGACCTGCCCAACGGGTTGGACAAGCGCGTCGGGGACGAGAAGGTGTGCTTGTTGAGAGAGGAAGATGGCGATTGGGTGTTCAAGCCGATCGAGAGCGAAGAATCATCGTCGGATTCCGATTCTGAGGGAGGGATCTCATGGTGATCCTGGCATTGGATCGACATCAGAGCGCATTGATACATCAGATCGAACCTAAAACAAAACGGCAATGCAGGTGAGGCAGTTGAATATGACGGAATGGACCTGTCAGTTCCGCGTCTGGCGTGGTGCTTCGTCCCCTTGGGTGGGTTGCGTGCGGAAATGTTCCGAGATTCGGGGTTCGGAGAGGCACTAATGACTCGACCTGCATGGTCAGTTGGAGAGAGTTACATCGCTGGTGATTGGCTTTCGGCGCCGAGCTCGTGTGGAGAAGTTCTGGGATGTCTCCCTTCGAGACTCGGCTGGTGTCATCGGCAAACGATTTCCTGACTCTCATTTGCTCTGTCAATTCCCATCCCTCCACTTCCAGCCTCGGCCTTCTTCGTCGAGATCGAGCCTCCAGTTCGTGATGCTGGATAGCGTTTTGCCAAGGGACATGGATATACGAGTCAGCAAATAAAAGCCGTCCAGTTCCGATCAATCCGATTTCACAAACCATGCCGCCGGCGCAACGGACGGGGACGGGGAATAGCTTCCCCTGGTCATAATTTCCGGCCGCGAGCTGCACGCCCCCAAGCTCCGTGTCCACTGTCCAGGACGAGTAGTCCACCGCTATTGATATCCCCAGACGTGTAGCGTCAAAGGATCGTCGACGGCTCCAGACCCCCAGACTTTATCTCCAGAAATTCCATGCAGTCTCCCCTCTTCCCCACACCCCGCAAACTGCTTTCCGTGTCCCGTCCCCATCCTCCGTCTTCGGTCCATCCTGATCTGGGAAGTTGAACTTTTCCCGACATCCTCGTGTGTTTTCTCGACCCGTAGTCACTGCCGATAGACGAGCTTCACCTCGGTCAGACCTGCTCTCTCCACGGATACCACGCAAGCATATACAGTGTCCCGGCCGAAGAAACATCATGGCGACTGAAGCAGCAGCTGCGGAGTCTTCCAAACCCAAATCACAGAGCAAGATCCGGAAGCGCGCTCCCAAGGCGTGTCTGTCGTGTCGCGCTCGCAAAGTGAGATGTGATGTCTCACAGCGTGGCCGTCCGTGTATGAATTGCTATCTCGACAGCGAGACGTGTGTCGTGACAGGGAGAGCTTCAAGATTGTAAGTGGGATCAAGACTCCTGGTGTTTCTTGTACTGTTGCTGACCGCCCACAGTCGGCGAGCTCAGCAGAGAGATGACGCCGCGAATGCAGACAACGCAGAGGCGTCCTACCCGCCGTATGGCGCCGAGTCTGGAGAGCATACTCACGATGTCGGCCCCATCGCGACAACAGGCAGCGACGGCAAGACAATACCATTGACTGAGCCCAATGGCCAGCATCACGGCCACGACCACTCTCACAGTGACGAATCGTCGCCATTAGCTGCGGACAATGACCGACAGAAGAGCCCGACGGCGCACAAGAACGCTTGCCGGCATGAACACGGCGGCCATGGACACCCCGTCAAGCCCTCGACCGCAACAGGAGCGAGCTTTGAGTCTCTCCCGACCGGTTCATTACCTCTGAATAGCGCCCCTGGAGGACAGCTATCCGCCGACCAACGGCACCTCAACCTCGACGTCACCTTCTCGTTCTACCCGTTCCTGACCCTGGGCAACCTTCACAACATTCCTCCTCAAGACGTCAACTTCCTTGAACTTCAAGGCTGTCTAAGGATACCGACGCGCGCGATCCTCGACGAGTTTGTTCAACAGTATTTTCTCCACGTACATCCCCTCCTCCCAATGCTCAACGAGGGAGACTTTTGGGACGTGTACTGCATGAACCCGAGCAGTATGCCAAGCGACCGTTTGTCACTACTTCTGTTTCAAGCGATGCTCTTCGCTTCATGTAATGTGAGTTTCACTCAAAGACGCCTCTCAAAACACTCAACTGACATCATTCTAGTTCGTGTCTCGCCAAACAATAAAGACTCTGGGCTTTGCCACAATACGCGCCGCCCGCGCCGCCTTCTACAGACGCGCAAAGCTCCTCTACGACCTCGAATCCGAGTCCTCGCCCCTTGCAATCTCCCAAGCGGCCCTCCTCCTCTCCTTCTGGTCCCCTCCCTCATCGCCTGCTTTGCGGAAGCAAAACACCGCCTGGCTCACCATCGCCATCCAGAACGCGAAGACCGTTGAGGCACATCACTACGCAACCCGCACCGCGCCCCCAAAGAAGCGCAACCTGCTCAAGAGGCTGTGGTGGTGCTGCATAATCCGCGACCGCATCGTCGGCCTCGGCATGCGCCGCGGCGTCCAAATCACCCGCAGCCACTTCGACTTCGACGCCAACGGCATCCTGGGGTACTCGGACTTCGCGGACGAGATCGAGCGGAGCAGGGTGTACAACCCCGGCACGAAGCGGTGCCTCGCCGAGATCCTGGAGCAGCTCGTCGAGCTGTGCGTCGTGCTGACGGATATCCTCATCTTGGTGTTCCCGCTGGACGATAGCCCCGGCTGGGGCCGGGAGATGCGCGCCGAAGAGCAGGACCGGGTCCGCGGGTGTAAGATGGCGCTGCGGAGGTGGTACAAGGGCGCCACGCTCAGATTCCCCATGTTCGGGGGCGGCTCCGTCGCGAGGATGAAGTCACCCGGGAATGAGTTCCAGCATGATTCGGTGATATTGTACACGAACCTGATGTACATGTACTATCAGTAAGTTGCCTGCCCTTCTCACATTCTCAAGCATCGTCGCTGACATCCGCAGCTCTTCACGCGTGGTTCTCAGCCATCACGAAGTCCTCCACCTCGCAATCACGGCCGCCGCCCCTTCATTCAGCGCCATACCCACGTCAGACCTCGTCATCATCGGAGAGAACCGACACGAGCTTCAAGACGCAGCGTCCGGTGTCACAGAATGCTTAAAAGAACTCATCCATCTGAGGCTAGCCCGCTGGCTACCCATCAGCGCCGTCGCATGCACCGCCCTGCCCCTGGTCCTACACATCCTCGACGTGAAGCTCTCCGCCTCGTCGCGATCATTCGACCCGAACACGCAGTCCGCGCTGAAGCAGCACCGCCTCAACATCCTCATTGAGGCCATGAAGACGTACCAGCCGCAATACGACGGCGTCGACTGGGTCAGCGAGACGATACGGCACATCGTCAACCTCGCGCAGATAGATTCGGCAACTGGGGAGGCTCCTGCAAACTCAAACGAGGGCGGCGCCGTCATCGCGGATTGGACAGACATTCTCGCGTCGCAGCCCAGCTCGTATCTCCGTCTCGCCTTGACGATGGACCTCTCCCTGAGTAAAGGGCGACTCCCCGAGGACGGTGACTTCCCGGTCAGCCTGCGCGGCCTGTTCACGGGCGGCTTCAACCCGCTGAAGGCGCTCCTCGAAAGGAAACGGAACGAGAGCAGGGCGGGTCTCGGCGCTCTCGGCGGCCTTGGATCTACAGCGTCGATGATGGACTTTGAAACTGGCACGCTGCGGCCCAGCCTCTTCCGCATGGAGCCGGGCACAGTGACGGTCATACCCTCCGACGAAGACAGCAACTCGCCCACGTCGCAGAGCCAAGACAGCGCGACGGACGGGACCTCTCCGCGCGGGAACAGCGCCGGTGGCGACGTGAGCATGGCGGACCGGCCACCCTCAGAAGGGATCGACGGGCTGGCCGCGGAGGTACTGGCGGCGTTCCCGCTGGACGACCAGTCCGTCAGCGTGGAGGGCGACTTTGACGGGATGTACTTTGACGGGATGCCCGGGCACGACGGGCCGAACGGGTGGATCGAGACGGCGTGGGGGGAGCTCACGCACGGCGGGGAGGACAGGACGGATCGGGATACGGCGCGGGTGCTGCTTGAGGCGCTGCGGGAGGGGGACTTGGCTGAGTGTGCTGCGTGATGCGTGATGTCTATAGAGGGTATGACTAGAATGACGATAATGACTTGACCATTGCATACGTCAGACTCTGCATTAGTCTCACCATGAGAGTAAAGATGCGCGGCCAACCAAAGAAAGGGTCCCAGTAGATGCACGCCTGGCGGCCGGCATTCAGCGGCCAATGCCAGTTCCTCAGGAGAGATTATCCGGCACATCAGTTCCCTTATCTCATGCACGACTTCCCCCCGAAACGGAAATATACGAGATCTGCGCCATGCAGGGCGGAAATGCCCGGGGAACCGCGTTGGGAGTGCAGTCTGGGAAAGCAGACCCGTCCCCCGCAAAGTGAGGTTCTCCAACCCCGGATTACCCATCCCCCACAGACTGGGCTTCCCCGGAGCTAACCCCGCGATGTCAGGGGCGGGGAATAGGCCGGGAAGACGTCCAGCCCAGGTGACATGAACGTGCTTTGGCGAGTTCCAACGGTGATGACTATATATACCGCGAGAATGAGTGCTCAACTAGGCCCCGTCATATGTGTTTGGCGGTCCTTTGATCATTGACATTCATTCTAGAGCCTGAGTATACGTACTTGCCTTATCCCCTCATGATGGACGTTGAAAAGGCCGGCTCCATCGCCCACGAGTCCATCAAGGAGGATGTGTCCCAAGAGCAGAAAGACGGCGCCGAGCACCCCATGCCAGAGATTCTGAGGTCTCTCTCGGCGGCGGAGTACAGGAAGACCGGCAGGAGGGCGACGTTCAAGATGGACATCATCATCATGCCGACGCTGATGATCACCTTTATCCTGAACTTCCTCGACCGCAACAACATCGCCGCGGCGAAGCTGGCCGGGATCACGGAGGACCTGCACCTGTCGGAGACGCAGTACCAGACATGCGTCTCGGTCCTGTTTGTGGGATATAGTAAGTCACCACCGCACATCTCACATGAAAAGAGGAGAGAACTTGGCTGACACGCAATGGCAGTCATCATGCAGATCCCGTCAAACATGATCATCGGCAAGATCAAGCTCCCGGGCGTCTACATCTGTTGCGCCATGTCGCTCTGGGGCATCGTTACGGCGGCGCAGACAGTGGTCAAGAGCTTCGCCAGCCTGGCGGTCGCCCGGTTCGCCGTCGGCTTTGTGGAGGCCGTATTCTTCTCGGGCGGTCTCTTTTACCTCTCT